CGGACAGTTTTTTCCTTTTTTTTGTCTTGTCATTTTTCCCAGCCGGGTCTTGTGGGTTTTGGATTTTTGTCGCGTGCATGCGTGCGAAACCCCAGTTTCGGCAACATTTTATCTTCAGGCTTTTTCACATTCGTGCCCACGGTTCCGCGAGAAGCGTTTCGGAGAGTTTTTTTCGCTTTGTTTATCTTGTCATTTTGTCGCAGCCGCGTCTTGTGGGTTTTGGAGTTTTGTCGCGTGCATGCGCCCGAAGCCGCAGTTTTGGCACCAGTTAGTTCTGAATTTGATTTCCCTTCGTGTTCCAAGAGCCTATGCTCACCAGAGAATCCATGCCCAAACCATAATTCCGTTCGTGTTCCAAGAGCATACGCTCACGAGAGAATCCATGCCAAAAGCATAGTAAGGTTCGTGTTCCAAGTGCATACGCTCACCAGAGCATCCATGCCCAAACCATCAGAACGTTCGTGTTCCAAGTGCATACGCTCACGAGAGAACCCATGCCCAAACCATAATTCCGTTCGTGTTCCAAGAGCATACGCTCACGAGAGAACCCGTGCCAAAACGATAATAACGTTCGTGTTCCAAGTGCATACGCTCACCAGAGAACCCATGCCCAAACCATGATAACGTTCGTGTTCCAAGTGCATTCGCTCACGAGAGAATCCATGCCTAAACCATAATTCCGTTCGTGTTCCAAGAGCATACGATCACCAGAGCATCCATGCCCAAACCATAATAACGTTCCTGTTCCAAGTGCATACGCTCACCAAAGAATCCATGCCCAAACCATAATAACGTTCGTGTTCCAAGTGCATTCGCTCACGAGAGAATCCATGCCCAAACCATAATTCCGTTCGTGTTCCAAGAGCATACGCTCACGAGAGAATCCATGCCAAAACCATAATAACGTTCGTGTTCCAAGAACAGCATCTATGACTAAACCATACGGATTTCACGATTACTCATTCCTCTCTTCTATTGCACTCTCCTGTTGCAGGGGCGGCTTGTTTCTTGAATGCTTTCGTTGTCTGGACAAGCTTGGCGTGCCAGACTGCAAAAACTTTGCCTGCCGATTTGGCTGTTTTCCCTAAACCCTAAACCCTAAAACCCCTAAACCCTAAACCCTAAACCTGAACACCGCAAACCTCACAGACGCACTAAACAAGCTGTTGGGCCCTCACAGTGCGAGCGCCAGGTCTTTTTCCCTTTTTGTTGCTGTGCGAGCAGAATCCTACCCAGTGTTGCAGAACGTCCGTTTCAGAAAGTCCGGCACTGTTGCTGGCTTTGCGTAGTCCCTTAAGACACGTATTACTTGAGAGGATTCCTTTAACTGGCATTATGGGATAAAGTGAGAGGGCCCCTTCAAGACCCTCAAGGGCTCCCTGTAGACCAACTAGTATGTAGTGTGGGACAAATATACTTTGGGAGGGTCCCTTTAAATGCACCGAAAAGGTCCTTTTGAATGCGTACGTTTGGCCGAGGCTCCTGTAGNNCCCCTTCAAGACCCTCAAGGGCTCCCTGTAGACCAACTATTATGTAGCATGGGACAAGTATAGTTTGGGAGGGTCCCTTGAAGACCTTCAAGGGCTCCCTGTAGACCAACTATTATGTAGTATGGGACAAGTATAGTTTGGGAGGGTCCCTTCAAGACCTTCAAGGGCTCCCTGTAGACCAACTGTTATGTAGTATGGGACCAGTATACTTTGGGAGGGTCCCTTTACATGCCCCGAAAAGGTCTCTTTTGAATGTGTACGTTTGGCCGAGGCTCCTGTATACCAAATATTATGTATTATGGGACATTTATAACCAGTGGGAGGGCCCCTTCAAGACCTTCAAGGGCTCCCTGTACACCAACTCTTCTGTAGCATGGAACAAGTATAGTTTGCGAGAGTCCCTTTAAATGTCCCGAAAAGGTTCCTTTTGAATGTGTAAGCTTGGCCCAACGATGGGTGAAGTAGACAACTTGGGTGGGTCCCTTTAAAAGCCTGAAGCCTCCACTTAAGAGAAAATAACAACCCGAAACACCCTAACCCTAAACGCTGAAAAGATCATCCAAAACGAAGTAGTTCCGCGGGCCATTTTTTGACCCTTAAAATTACGAGTACCACGCCTGCCAGTGTTTCTGAGGCCGCTCATACGCGATAACCCACAGCAAAATAAAGCGCCGTGACCTAGTAGTAGTAGTAGCAGCAGTAGCAGCAGCAGCAGCAGCAGCAGCAATACGGAATTGGAGTAGCAGCAGTAGTGGTAGCACTTTGCCAACTGAAGCAGTTGGAAACGTGCAGCAAATCTTGAAAGATACAGGAAGATAATGATCAGCAAGGAGAGCAGCAATGACGTCTGGATATGTGAGTCTTCGTCCAGGCTTCATCAAAATGCGGGTTGTAGGAATGTATAGTGGGTCCCAATGTATGAGGAATCCCATATCAAAAGTGTAGAGGAGGTCTCCACTTGCGGTCTCGTGGGATCTCTGCAGCTGTATAGCTTGGGGTTTCGCATCATCAAATGTTCGTGTCAGTCCTATTTTACTGGGGGCCTTCATGACTATCAATCATTGCTAGCCCCCTTTCCTCTTGCTCGCGTGCTTTTCGGGCACCTAGGTGGAGATGGCGCTTGCATCTGCCGCAGACTTTTTCCTAGCTTTTGGGGACGGGCTGATCCGCGGCCACGCCTCCATGCCCTCAATGCTGGTTCTGCAGATGAGGCGGGTGGAAAGTAGCATTGAAATTGGTGGTGTTGCTAGTGGTGGTATTCCCAGTGCTTAAGTGCCGCTGTGGTAAGTAGTATTAGGAGGACCTTCTGTGCCTACCCCACCCCTCAACCAGGAATTCTGCCTCCTTTGGTCCTTGTTCAGTGCCAGTATGGAAGGTTGCATGCTGAGTCCTGGCCTTTGGAGTCCAACGCTTTCTCCTTTGCCGCCGGCCACTCTTTTGGGGAGGAATCCTGGCTGCCGTCAGGATGTGTCCATCAACTATGGGTATCATTTTATAGGGATTTCTTTGGAGGTTGACAGGGTTGCAAAACGGCTTCATGTTGTTTTGCAGGCCGAAGATCCCCTTTCTCTCAGTACGCAGATGAACATGTTGCATGATTCCTGTATTTCTGTTCAAGCATCATGATGATCTATGTTTCTTCTTGGGGTCAGCCGCATCCTTTCAGTGGGAAGGGCGATGCCTGGCATCTGCAAGCTTCCTAGCTTCATGGAGAGACACACAGAGCCGGTACACATGAAAAGCTGTCAGGACTGGCTCGGCCTTTGAGCAGTGAACGTGGTTTGTGAGAAGCCGCCTGCTTCCGACATACCGTGGATACTAAGAATCCTGCATGACCTTAGTATAGTAGAACATGCAGGATTGTTTAGTATTCACCATGCGTGGCATTTGTGTTCTTGCGGAAATGTGCCGGAAAGCCAAAGCAGCTTTGGGCGCCTGCGCAAACCGCTGGCCAAAGTGCCAGGTCCACACTTCCGCGGGGTTTACTGGGATTGCTGTTAAGGAATTTAATTTAAGTTACTATATTGGGGAAACCCTATAAATTACTGTATATACCCATTATGGCTTATGGTAACTTAATTTAAGTTCCTTAACAGCAACCCAGTTTACGGGATTGGGGGCTTCTGCCTGGGGATGTTGTCAGCCTTGCACCTTGAGAACTGTACAGGGCAGCTGCGTACGACGCTGAGGGGGCACGCTGGCAAAAAGACATTTGCGTTATGGTGACCTGAAGGAGAGGGAACATTCTGACAGGACACACCTCGAGACGTTTTGATGAGCATCGTATGAGCTTTCCAAACTGCTGGTATCCCCTTATTAACTCCCCCACATAATGCCCTCTATGACTGCCTTTAAGGAAGTTAGACTATAGCTCATATACCTCATGTAGGAAGATCCTTTCATCCAAAAGTCAGCCAACCCGGGATGGCTGAAGCTTAGGAGCGGCGGAGAATTGAACATCTGCCGGCATATAGTTCAAGCTGCGTCCTCCGAGACGCAAAAACAAGGCCGCGGACCCGTGCTGGCAGGAGGCGCGTGTGAGCTTTGGGGTCCAGCACTGGAATGGGAACTTGAAAAGTCGCCACTTAAGATCCCCAGTCCCAATCACAAAGCTGCGAGACACTCCCAAAAATTTGCCCTAGAAACATGTTGCCTGGGTAACGAAAGCTTCAAGTTATAATTTTTAGCCAGGAAACGTTCTTTGTTTTGCAAGATGCCTGCCTAGCCCCTGAGCCAAAATCCCTGCATCATTCCCATTTTCGTTGTCTTTCTCATTTGGTTCTCCATGCTTCTAGTCCCTAGAAAATGTGGATCCCTACATTTCTTGTCCCTCCAAAGCTTCTATCTCAACCCTGTATAGCTCTGTGGAATCCTTCTATAATCCAAATATAAACCCAACTACATCACAGTGTTACAATCCCTACATGAGTTGTATTTTCTTTGAGGATACTATGGTACCCAATATAGAGTAAGATTCTATCCTCCTTTTGTGGTATAGTATTTTATATGAGGAATATAATCTTACTGGGTTCAACCACCAAAAAAAGCACTACTCACAAGAACCCGAAACCCTAAACCCTAAACCCAAAACCCCCAAAACCCAAAACCCCCTAAACCCTAAACCCTAAATACCCTAAATACCCTAAATACCCTAAATACCCTAGAAACCTTTAACCCCACCAAACCCCCCAAATGCGCTCCTGAGCCCGTCAGGTCCGCGGCCGCCATGCCTCCGAAGCCAGGACGTATGGGGATTTTCAGCGTTAAGGATATATTGGGGTTATATTAGGATAATGGAAAAGAAAATGGAAACTACAATTTAGGGTTTAGGGTTTATTGGGTTTGGGTTTAGGCGTAGGGTTGATTATATAGGGGTTTAGGGTTTAGGGTTTATATTGGGGTTACATGGGGGGTAATGGAAAAGAGAATGGAAACTACTATTGGGGGTTTAGGGTTTAGGGTTTATTTATTTAAGGATATAGGGTGTTTCTACTACCCCCTTGCTAATCCTCAACTCCACTAGTAATACATACTTGGAGGTTCATGCCATTTAGTCACTATTTATAGCTGGACTTGTATTTTTTCTAGGCTTATTTGTAGTTGGGTTAACCATGTGAGTCAACCGATTCAGGAAATGCGACGAGGGCGAAGGAGATGGAGGAATACGACAAGGCGACTGTGACTGCTATGGTGAAGACACTCATCCAAGCTGATGTCAAGTCAACATGAAGTATACTTAGCCACTGCAGTCACAGGGGCACGGGGCAGGGGTGGAACTTGGCAGGATTCTGAAGTCAGAGAGTTCAACTCAGGCGTGTTTCTTAAAAGGAAAAATAAAGACCCCAAACGAAAAAAGAGGAACCAAAGGTGCACAAGTGTTCCGGTGACGCGGATAACACTTCATCATCCGGCAAATATCTCATTATATACGTTTTTTTTAATCAAGATGTGGGGCTCCTCTCATACTCCCCCCACATATCCCCTATAAAATACTTACGTAACCTCATGGAAGGATCCTGATGCCCTTAACTTTGAGAACCTTTCATTTCTGTGCCCAAGGTAGTCTTGGTTTCGGGTGCAGGGGTAGTATTATAGGCAAGAAAATAGGGACCAGTGCAAGTTGGGTGGGCGATGAACATAAGCCGTAAACCCCAAGCCATGATGTTGTGGACATGCGGCCGGTAGGAGCAGTTCATGCTCATGCAGCAGCGGCACAAGTTGCAGAAGGACACCCAACTCGAGGCCAAGTTGCGGGTTTTCAGGAGGGACCCCGACATCGGACCCTTAATCTCAGTACCTTACATAACCCGTGTATAGTCCTATACACCCAATATATATGTATATACATATGAGTCCAGATTATATAAGCTCCCCATAAGCCACAAGGGTTCCTACCCAGAACCCCTAGAGTGTGGAAGTGGCAGTGCAAAGGCTTGATGCCGATCCTACCGCATGACGGTAAGAGCACAAGACACGTCATTCCTATACCTCTAAAGCAAGAAATATTGGGGTTATATGGTGGAAAAGAACATGGAAATTCCTGTATTATAGCCTCCTGCAGGTCAGAAACACAAAGTACAACATGAGCAGGTGAGAGGCTCAGAGGGTCAGAAGGTTTTCTTCAACTGCAGGATTACTCCAATCATCCGACCGGATTCTGGATTGTACAGAGTCTGGAGGGTGGTGCTGAGAGGGATGAGCTAAGGATTCAAGAAAGCTGGCTGAAGATTATGCGATCAGCGAAAACCAAGCAGCTCAAGAAGCAGGCGGCATCTGTTGTTGCAGTCAAAATCTGGAACTCGAGGTCCTGCGATGGCCGCCCTATGTCTGCACGATAACTATGCTTTGAATTGGGATGGTCATGGCTGTGGATGCAAGTGTTCTTGGAGGTTGAGATCATCTCCCAGAACCACGAGAGAGACGTGGATCGCGCTAGCCCTGGCGGTTCTACCAGAGATTCGCCTTGAGATCGAGCACATCATCCTCTTAGCCCCCCCCTCTGCAAACCTGGATGGATAAGAGGACTCGTTCCAAGCGAACAAGCGGCATGATCGCAGCTGCAAACAGCACTAACGTATGGCTGGTGAGGCAAAGATGCCATCCTCCAAATGTTGGACCGAGACCTCGATGAGGCTGAGGACAGCAGCTGGCGAGCATAGGAACCTGGGCACCAGTTCGTAAGGGCTCGTGCATGGTTCAAAAGCAGAGACTTGTACTGGCACCGGTAGTTTCCCTAAATAGGGTGACCCCAATATAAAAATACTAGAGTGCTTACCATGGGGACCCCCAAAAACGTACCCCTAATTTTGGGAAACCCTCAACTATTCTCAAGATAGTTATTACAAATCACAGCCCTGCCAGCAGATGCAAGCGGCTGTCGAGGAGCAGCATCAGGTGGCTGTGAGGAGCCACCTCCTTAACGTAGATCGGCTCCTGGAGATCCAGCAGAGCAGGCGAGGATGCTATCACAGGGATACATGTACGGGCGAATCCAATGAGAAAGCACCTGGAGATGAAAATGGAAGCTACTATTTCGGGCGTGGGGATATTTGCCAGATAATGCAGAAACAAATGGAAAAGAACGTGGAACGTGGAATGGGAACCTGGGACTATCACCCCTCGGGTGCACTCTTATGAGGAGCTTCCTTTGCGTCGGTTCTATTGCAACTACAGGAGGGTAGTTACCCGTGTAGGGACCTTATATACTCCTTATACCAACATGCAACTCCCCATTGTCCCTATGGACGCCTGATAGACCCTTTATACCCTAAACCCAACCTTACCTAATTGGTCGGGGCCTCCAGGCTCCTTGCCTTGGATGAAGAGTTCAAGCGGGATGTCGCCACGCTCCAGGAGGACTGCACGCTACGTGTTCTGATAGGCCTCGGCCGAGGGAACAGCAGTCTTAACGGCAGTAGTAGCAGCAGACGTTAGTAGAAGTACTCATATGTGTAGTAATGCCAATAGAGCACAAGCACGCTGAACGTTGGCGCTGGTGCAGCAATGTTGATGTCGATGGCAACGCTGCAAAAGGATGCAAACAGGTGGAACACGGCGCTGACAGCACACTGAACATCATGTTGGGAGCTCTTCACGATCTCCTAAAACCTCCCCTCATATCACCTGTTTGGACCATGCTGACCCGGGCGCAGGAGTTCCGCATCGAGCGGGAGCACATCCAGGCCGGAGACACAAAACAATGGAAAAGAAAATGGAAACTACCACAGTATAGTGGGTTATATAGGGAATAATGGAAAAGACCACAGTATATTGGGGTTATATAGGGAATAACGGAAAAGAACATGGAAACTACTATATATTCGGGAATATACCCGCTGTACTTGCTTGGGTAGGCTGGCCTTGCGGCACAAGACTACTAAACAAATGGGGGGACAATATTTGGCTGAAAAATAGATAAACAATAGGGTGAACATATTCTCCCCCAATTGTCTTGTTCAGTAGTTTGATTACATTTTGTTTTTGAGAACTGTAGAGTAGCATAGCTTCTTTGCAACTTGTTAAGTGTGTGTGTAGCTGTAGTCCGTTATCGGACTTTGTATTCTCCCAGCGGCTGCGACGTTGTGAAGTAATCTTTTTGTTTTTGCGGGATTGTTGCTGCTCGGCCGTAGTCCAACTGGGCGGCTCATTGGACGTGTTTGGACGCGCTGCCTTCTGGAACATGCCAGGAGCGACATGCGCTAGAGAAGCGAGAACTGGCGCTGATTGTAGAGCAAGTGGAGCTGCTTGGCTGCACCGTTCTTCGTACCAAGATGTGGATGTGTTTGTGTTCGCGCAGTCGTTGCGTAGATTCAGAGTGCATGGAAGTTCTGCACGCACATTGATGCCTTGCAGGCGTGAAGAGAAGAACCGAGAAACGGCCTGGGGCTTTCCGGGAAAGCTTTCCAGATCGGCAAGCTCCGAGATCGACATGTGTGCGTTTTGTGTGAACTGAGGCGGACATCACCGACCACCAGTCCCAGTTCGAGCTCATCCGTATCTTGAATGTTCTAAAGAGCAGGGAGCAACATCAATCCATTTTCTCATAGTCTACCACTACCAACGGTTGCATGCGCTCCGGAATGACATACTTCTATACCTTACTTCAATTTCCCCTGTGCTGCAAAGGTGGGCTGCAAAGAATGAACACCGCCTGAAAGCCGTGAGGATTAGAAGCAAATGTCAGACACGTGTATTGCGACTTCAAGCAATGAAAGATTTTGCGCAGCAGGCATCTTTCATCCTGGAAATTTGGCAGTGTATGGGCAACCCCCTGGCCGTACACAACGCATGGTGCAGTTGAGCGCCATCTGCACGCAAGTGCAGCAGAGTAGTAATAGTTCGGAATCGAAAGTAAGACTGCATCCTTCTTGTGGTTGCAGATATTTATACTAAGAGGATATTCCTACTCGGCTCAGTCGCCAACCAATCTCCTTAAACCCTAAACCCTAAATCCTTGAACCCCTTAACCCTAGAAACCCTACAAACCCTAAGAGCCCTAGAAACCCTAAAACCCTGAAAACCTCAAAAACCATAAAAACCCTAAACCCTAAACGCTAAAGCTCAAAGGCAACAAGAACATTGAGGAGGACCACCAAATGCGCTCCGGCCTCGAGGAGCAGATTGAGGAAACTCGCGCTAGGCCTGGCCTGCAGTAGGGATTAGTAGGGATTTAGGCATTTCGGAATTTAGGGTTTAGGTTTAGGGTTTACGGTTTAGAGTGTAAACTTGTGGAGGGGGGATATAAGCGGGATTATAGGGAAGTTTTACAGGGGTTATTAAGTGGTATACTAGGAGGTTAGGCTACAGCTCGTGTGAATGATGCAGGAGATGTGGAGTTTTGAAAAAGGGGGGTTCCTTTTGGGGTGCTATAAGGAGGATGGACTGGCTAGGTTCTTGGCAACACCCCTAGCATACATACATGCTCATATAACATAAAAAGGTAAGTATATGTATATATTCATGTATAGACGCCATATTTATATGCTGTGGTCTTGATGCAGAGAATGCGGAGAGCGCGATAGTGTAAGGATTCTGCAGTTTGTGGTGCGGCGCACAGTTTGGTGTTTTGTCATCACGGGGTCTTGACAAACATGTTCTGCGTAGCATTTGTGTGTGTGTGCTATGGGCTCAGTGAAAGATTTTAGGGCTTTATGCAGCTTGCTTTCAGCAGCAAGCACACCTTGCGCACAATCTCTCCAGCCATGATGAAACGCTGCATGCTCCTGTGCAATTGAACGTTGCTGCTGGGGTGGCATTGTGCAGGTGTAAAGACAAGCTGCTCACCTACGAGAGGTCAACAGAAAACAGCACGACGGAGTACAAGGACATGACTCTCCACTTTTCGCAAGGTTTAGTTGTGCTGAGTGGGTTTCGTTAAAGCACCGCTTGGTCGAGTCTGAAGTACGCTAGTCTGTAAGCAGGGCGTCATGTGACGTAATGGTTTACATGTTGGAGTGTTGGCAAAAATCATTCGCAGTAGATCTCTGCAAATAGGTGAGATAGGTCTTCCTTTGAAGCCATCTGGCTCCTGCTGTATACATCTGTCGGCTACAAGGCATGAATATAAGTTTTATTTGGGTGAACCAACACGCTCCGGGCTATGCAATGCTGCACAACCTGGGCAACATGGTAGGCCCCTACCAGCAAATGTGAGTAGAACCAACCTACTGATACGGTTAGATTGGAACTATCCTCACTGCGGCATGTTGCCATGCAGTTCCGCCCCGTCGGGACTCAAGAACCTGAGGCATGCAGAAGGTCCATGCAGAGGCGGGGGTGGTTGCATGGTTGGACGAAAAACCCCTTGGCCACCCAGTCGCAGTGCGAGTGCCACGCGTGCTGTAGCACCCTTTGCCCTGGGCCTGTCACTGGGTTTAAGCACATTTGCGCTGGCGCAGTTGAGCCGCCGCCTGCAGCGTTACCTGAAGCGCCACTTTTTGAGGGACAAGGCGCAGCCGAGCTCCAGCGGCTTGGGCCACGCGCTGGTCCAAGCAGCTGCCCGTGGTCCTGAGGGCCTGGATGTGAAAGCTCGTGCCGCTTACGACTTGATCCGCGAGGCTGCAGAAGCAGGTGTCAAGGAGTTCTCCTCAAGCCGCCACCTCAGTTGGTTTGCGTCCTATTGGAGACCTGCTACAGTTGCTGAATCCAGTGAAGTCTGCTGCACCTGCAGGCGGAGACTTTGCAGCAGTCGGTCGGGCTGCAGCCAAAGCGCGCGAAGAGCTGGTTGCGCGCGCTGCGCAGGATCTTCGCGCTGGGAACGCCGATGTTGATGTGGTGGCAGAGTTCCTGGTTGATTCTGCACTGGCAAGAGCTGCGCGTTGTGCTCATGGCGGTGGTGGAATCTATTCAGAGCTGTGGCTGTTGGATGAGGGAAGAGCAAGTGTGGAGAACATCCGAACAGCCAAAATGGCAGATGCTCTTCAGCAAGAGAACGGGGCAGGAGTTGCACGCCTGCTGGCTTCCAGGGACATTCTCATTGACGAGAGGCCCCGTCGAGGTGGCCATGAAGTTTGGCCTTTGTTTGCGCAAGTACAGCCGTATGTATTCACGAGATCCACCTTCCTGGCGCTGCTGGATGTCTTTGAAGTTTTCCACCAGAGGCGCGGTGAGATGCGTGAGTACAGTCCGGAAGAGCGGAGGAAGATTGAAAAGCTTCTGGATGTGGTCGATCGCACGCCTGTGATGCGCCGAGCCCGTGCGGAGGCCGCCAAATTTGAAGCGGAACTTACAGATGAAGCGTGGCGTCGGCACATGTGGCACATCTGGTTTCAGCGGCATCCAACTAGCCCAAAGTGTGGCTTCGAACACGTTTTTGTAGGCGAGGCAACAGAAGACTTGCAGGGAAGGGACGTGGTGGGAGGGCTCCATAACTGGGTGAAATTCTACCTGGAGGAACAGCGAGGCGCTGCGCAGTACCTGGGGGCGAGATACAAAGGCCGCACCACCACTTCTGAAGGGGCCCTTAACCCCTACTTTGTAAGCGGCCGCTTCACGTGGGACCTCGAGGGGAAGCATCTGATCAAGGATGTTGGCGGCTTCTTCGTGGGCGTTTCCCCGGAGTGGCAGCTTGCCATCGCCACAACGGCCTTCTTCGAGACGTTGACGCCCGAGCGTGCGGTCAGGCAGCGGCCCAGTATTTTGCGGCAGTTTGCGTGCCGTGCAGCCAGTTTTTGTGTCTGTCATGAATCAGTGGCATAGGCCAGGGCCAGGCAAGGCATTCTAGAAGAATGATGTCAGGCGCCAGTGGAGCCGTGACTTCATGTCACGTGATGTTGGCTACATGCGCGCTGCAAGGCTAGGAGAGCATGTGTGCCTTGGCTTGAGTTCGGAAGGTATAATCTTGTTCAAGGTCGCTTTGTGGTTACTAGAACTTGCATTCAGGTACCGGATTTGCATCCGAAGGAATGAGCATGGCAATCTGACCACTTTCTTTGCAGCTCAGCTGGGAACCTGGGACGCGCGGGCCCGTGCCGAGCTGGACGAGCCGTTGGCCCCAGATGTTCTGAGACAGCGGCTGCAGTCGTTACTGGTTCTACATGGTTTTGCAGATGAGGAGGAGCTCCTCCAGCTAGCCACTCGTGTTGCCTCAGCTGGTGCCTGCAATCTGCGTGATGCTCTGCGGCACTTGCACACGGAACTGACGTTTAGCTTCGCAGATTCCTCGCAAGCAGAAGCCAAGATCGAAGGTCGCCCGGCTGGCAGCCAGCGCTTTTCCACAGAGCCCCCAAGATATTGGTAAGCTGCCCTGCACCTCTTTCAATCTCCCACACGGCCGGGCTGCTGGGTAAGTAGTTGCATTGAAACCTCCTCCTCATCCTTGTCTGAAGTTCTGCCGTGATTCCATTCTGCCCTCTGCATGATTAGAACCTTCCGTGCAACCTCCAGATCTTGATTGACGCCCGCATTCTGCATCATCACCATGATCTTGAGCAATAATCCATTACATTTGAACCACCTGTTTTTTCTCCCTCATGGTGGTTTAAATGCGTGGATATACATGAGATCCCTTGTGAACAGTTTGGTTCCTAACTTTCACCCTCAACCCTCAACTCCGAATCCTAAGCTCAAGGCCCCCAAAACCTACGGCCTGATCTTATGAACCTCTATATCCATCGTTATTCAAAAGCATGTTACATTGTTTTGCGTACCTGAACCCAACATGGATTGCAGATGATCTTTGCTATTGGTATCTCAGCAAAAGTCAACCCTAAACTCCAAAACTTAAACCCCAAACCTGTTGAAACTAAACATGTACTCTGCTCTAC